TTATAGTCGGACTTTGTGAAGCCCGCAGGGATCCGCGCTTCGAAATTTGTGACGACCGTGTCTACCACAAGCAATCTCGGCAAGTTCGGATCCCGGCGAACTTTAGGTTGCTGCCTTTTGCAAAAAATGTTTACGGCGCGCCTGCTGGACCGTGGATCCGAACGTGGCTGTCGCGAGGTCGCGAAGTGTAGATATGCGAAGTCCGCCAAGATCCGCACTTCGAAATGTTCCAAACGGAGAGGTGTGTAGACACTCTTGTCCCTCCCATGCAATCTCGCCAAGTTCGGATCCCGACGAACTTCAGGTCCCTGCCTTTTGCAAGATGTGGGGACAGTGTGCCTGCTGGATTGTGGATCCAAACATGGCTGTCGTCAACTCTTAAAGTCGGACTTTGTAGAGTCCGGGTGGCATCCACCCTTCGCAATGTTTGGGACGACCGCGTCTAGCACAAGCAATCTCGCCAAGTTCGGATCCCGGCAAACTTCACGTCGTCGCCTTCTGCAAACAATGTTTGCGGCGCGCCTACTGGACCGTGGATCCGAACGTGGCTGTCGCCAGGTTGTGAAGTGTAGATATGCGAAGTCCGCCGAGATCCACACTTCGAAATGTTCGGGACGGAGAGGTGCGTAGACACCTGTGTCCCTCCCGTGCAATGTCGCCAAGTTCGGATGCCGGCGAGCTTCAGGTCCCAACCTTTCGCAAGATGTGGGGGCGGCGCACCTGCTGGACCGTGCATCCGAACATGGCTGTCGTCAGCTCTTATAGTCGGACTTTGTAAAGTCCGCACGGGATCCGCGCTTCGCAATGTTTGGGACGGCCGTGTCTGCCACAAGCAATCTCACCAAGTTCGGATCCCGGCGAACTTCAGGTCGCCGCTTTTTGCAAGATATGTTTGCGGCGCGCCTGACGGGCCGTGGGATCCGCACTTCATAATGTTTGGGACGGAGAGGTGCGTGGCAAGTTATGTCCCTCCCATGCAATGTTGCCAAGTTCGGATCCCGGCGAACTTCAGGTCCCTGCCTTTCGCAAGATGTGGGGGCAGCGCGCCTGCTGGACCGTGGATCCGAACATGGCTGTCGTCGGCCCGAGTTCTGTACATATGTGTACTCCGCCCGGATCCGTACTTCAAGATATTCGGATCCGCGGGAAGTGCGCGTCTCGGGCTTTGAGGTGGTTTGTCTTTGCTCTTTCTGCCTGGACATGCTCGCCGACCACCATCGACATGTGCCAAACAGTCGGTCGTTGTCGTTGCAAAATGCCAAAAGCACTCTTAGGGGTCCATGTTGCGGGGTTCGGGTCCATTCGGCGCACACTGCGGCGCTGGCTAAGCGAGCGCGGGTAGCGAAGATAGTGCAAGTTCGCCCGGATCCGAACTTCGGGTTCTGCCCTGGGGGGGGGGATTCACAGAATGGTTAGCGCGGTGCGGCCTTCGAACGTTGGCTTCATCTAGGCAAACGACGCGTCCTTCTATGTTTCGCTCTTGCGAACCCTCCTTAAGATCATGCCCGGCTTGCTTTGTGTTTTTTTTTCACCTCGATCGCTTGACCGGGGGTTGCGTGTGCGTAGTTCTCCGTTGTCTAGTGGTGGATTTTGTGAGAGGACTTCGTGTGCGTAGTTCGCCGTGATCGGATTTTCGTCATTCGTCGGCGGCAAAATGCGGCCGGCGTATCCGACCTGGCTTTCCCTACGTTTGTTCGTCGTTCCCCACGTTTGTTCGTCGTTTTTCGTTAACGTTCGGTCTGTGGTCGATCCCTTGCCACCTGTGCTGTTTTCTTCCAGTTTTCCGTGGTCTGACCGAGTCGTGGTTTGATATATTTGCTTTGTCATCCACACAGAGGATGTCTCCGTCTAGGGGCGAGGGGCAGCCTGTTGGTACCTCCGGGATGGGTTTGGGGAAAGATTCCACGAAAAGGTCGACTACGGCGTCGAAATCATGGTCGGACCACTCGAGGTCGAAATGGTTCGTCGACTGGTGCTGTGGGGATGCTTCCGACCCGACTAAACAACCGTGCGGTCCTGTCGTCTTCGTCGTCTCCAACAAGCGGCACAGGGTGCTGGGGGCCGTTCACGTCGCCAAACGGACTCGCCATCGGTTTTTTATGAAAAACGTTTATGGGGCGAAGGGCAACGCCGTCGACAATTGTAAGGGGGCGTTGCTGGATATGGATTTGTTCGAGGGCTTCGGAGCGGGTGCGGTGAACACCCCATTCTACAATGACCTCCTGCGGCAGGGGGGATTTGTTTTGGGTCGAGAATTTTTTAACGTTTTGGAGGAGAGGGGCGTCTTTCTCGATGGCCCCTGCGACGTCGGCCCCGCCTTGGAGCTGTCGACGCCCTTGCAGTTGTGCGGCGGTTGTGAAACTAGTGGGGCTGCGGCGGAGGGGGAAGACCTGGGTTCTGGTCTGGCAAGTCAACTGGAGCGGCCGGAAAGCCATGGTAATTTCGAGGAAAGCGGAGACGAGGGAACACCGCTGCCGATAACTTCGCACTCGGGCCATAGAGTTCGCTCCGTGTTGTCTATACCTGGGGTCTAGCATACAGAGCCGGTTAATGAAGACGTCTCAGCGGGTTCAGGAAAGGCAGCAGTCCATTTGCAGACTGACAAAGACCTTGCCACGGAAGCGGAGCCGGTTGCCGGAGAGGGAACGTAGAGCACTCCACAGAAAAGAAGGGGCGATCGTGAAGACGAGTTCGTCGGCTCTTCGAAAAAATAGAAGACCAAGACCCCAAGGGGTGCGGGCGAGAAAAGGAAGGGGACGGGGGGGGAACAGGACCGCCCGGTTGGCAAACGACCGACTTCGAAACAAAAGCAGCCTTAGTCGGAGCCTTCCTCGTCACGGCCTCCCATCGATGTGGACGCCTGGTACTACAAAGACAGCGTCACAACAAGGCGGGAGTTTGAGATTAGCCCGTCCCGGGTGGTCGACATTGGGGAGTGGGAGGATCTGTACAACCAACGGTCCTTGGATCCCGTCCTAGTGGGAACGATCAAAGAAGCGATGCGGTTGGCGTTCGAGAATAAAGAACAGTCGTACGAGTTGCCAACCCTGAAGCTCGCACCGCTGGGGCTTCAAAAACCGACTCCGGGGACCAGGGCGAGACGTCTGAAGCCAGAGAAACGGAAGGACGAGCTGGCGGGGCGGTACTACTACTACGCGGTGTGCGGGCAGCACAACGCCGCTGCAGCTCGGTCGCTGCTCGGCAGCGAGGTGGCCAAGAGGTACAATTTTGAGCGGTGGCCACCGCAAATGCTGTACTTTTCTCACAAAGACTTCAACGGGTATTTCCTTGTTATCTCCCAGGACAACAAGAAAGACCATAAGGCACCTCCTAGACCGTTGAAGGTCCTTGCTTGCGAGGTCGTTTGGGTCCAGGCAGGACATGGTGCAGCTGGTGAAGTGTGACTGCGTGCTCGTCCGGCTGTGGAATTACTACCAATTCAAGCACGAGAAGAGGCCGGACGTGGATTGGATCCAAAAGTACCGGGTCCCGTTCCTGAAATCCAGGTCCGCCGTGTTCAGGAAGTTTGAAAGTCGGGGGCTGGATGACGATTTGTGGGACGGTAGCAGGAAATACGTTTCGGATTCGGCTTTGTTCAAGGACTGCCCGTTGTATTTGGGTTGCGAGGATGACCACTCCATCGAGGCGACGAAAAAATTGGCGGGCCACAAGAAGTTGACGATCGACTGGAGAAACAAGGTTCTCTCCCTGTTGACAGGGAATAGACTGAAGAGTCGGGAGGTTGCACAGACAAAAGGCATTGTCCACATCAAATGGAAAGACACGGGGGACGTGACATCGATCGCGCCGTTCAGCAACGACCCTTTGGAGGATGACATCAGGGGTGCAGAATTGAAGGAGGCAGTGGCAGCCACGAAGAGCCACACCTTCGTACTGGATCTGTGCAAGCCGGTTGACCTAACACTATGGAAACCCCAAGCGTGGGAGACTCTGGATTCCTATCTTCAGACTTGGTGTCCTTGGCATTGGACTCTCGTTGTTTTCGTGCCGCGGCAGCAAAACCTCTCGTTTGTTGCAAGCATGCACCATGAGGAGGACCCAGCAAAAGAAAAGCTTCCCCGTGGGGAACAATTTGTACACCGAGGAACACCGCATGTACATCCTCTTCAAGGGCGATGATCTGCACGTGAACACGTTCGTGGTCTATGAGGGAAGGTTGCCTAAGGGTGCCGCTGCAGTGGTGAGGTTGCCTCAGAGGGTGATCCCGACGGATGTGTCGGAGACTCCCTTCTCGCCTTGCGACTAGTCGCAGACTGCGCCGGAACGATAGGGCAGTGTGTATGGGGACATGGAACGCAACCCGACACAATTCGTCCGTCTTCTTGATTTTCTTTCGAAGAAGGGAAAGGGTGTCGTCTTCCTCGGAAAACGACACGCAGGAAGCATGTGGGAGCTTATGAAAGCGGGCAGGCATGTAGTCGCGATGGAAGGGAACTCCGACCTTTTGCAATTCACGATGCAACTGGTCAAAAGCGAGATCAATTACGGGGCGCATAATTGCGAGTTCATGGTCGCAAAGGCAACACGGGATCTAGTGTGGAAAAACAGGACGGACATGCGGTTCAAGTTAAGCGAGAGAAAGAGGAACAAGATATACGACTTTTTGTTCCTCTGAACGCGGCCGAGGACGGACACTGACGCCGAGCACGTCTGCCGCAAGGACCACATGTTGGCATTGCTCGACGACCACCATTCCGCCTCCCGCATGAACGCGAAGACGTTTCTTGATAGGCTTTAGTCGTTGTACTTCGTTGAGTCCGAGCAGCAGTTGAAGTTAGCCAGTTACGCCTCCTTGATCTCCATTGACGACGAGGAAGCCACTGGTGTTGAGTTCAACGCCAATGCGAAAGAGGAGGAGAGCAACACCGAGAGCCTTGACTTGCAGCATGATCCAACACCGGCGGAGCACGCCCGAGGGTCGTCATTGGTTCGGCCGTCATCGAGCGCAGCAGCGGCGCCACCACTCGTGTCACCAACGGCAAGACCGTCGCCAGGCAGCACGCCGATGAAGTTGCTGGAGAGGCTAAGAGCTATGGCAATTCCCCCGCGTGCTATGCGTCCCGGGTCCGACATTCCGCCCGACCGTCCGTCATGGAAGGATGACAATATCCACTTGACATGATTTGGCATCCAGGTGTCATCCAGCCAGCGATACAGAAGGGCGAGTGGGTCATGGCCGTCGCAGTCCTGCATGGGGGATGGGTGTCGATTCCTCGTGAGTCGAAGTTTACCTTTCTGCACGTCGCGAGGATTTCGGTCCTCCAGAAAGTGAGGGCCGAAAATGACATGTTTGCACCCGACGACCTGTCAGTTGTTTCCACAGCCGGGCGAGTTTTCGACGAGCTCCAGGAGAAGTGCTGGTTCGAATTGACGGAGGACTACTACGACCTCGACACGAGTCCTTCGAAGGGCGTGGTGAACTGGAGAGTTCCACCTCCCGGTGGGCCACACGGTGGTGCCGGGGGGGGTGGGCCTGGAAGCGGAGGGGATGGGGGGGGTGGTAGGTGGGGAGGCGAAGGATATCCGCCCGTCTGGGAGGGAGGGCATTACGGCGGCACCACGGCCGTGGGAAGCAGCGGTGGGGCGGCGGGTTTTGACTTCGGTCAGGATCAGTCTGCTGGCCCCTCGCAAGAGCATGCGACACAGTCCACCGACCGACCGGCTTCGTCCGTCGGATCAGCGAGGGAGACGTTAGCAGCCTTGGTCACTCTAGGCAGGCGCTCCAGCGGAACGTCGAAGTCCGTTGGGGTCCGAACTACGTCGGTTGAGAAGCCGCGAGTACGGTCGACCCTGTTGGGCGAGCCGAGCCCGGATTCCACAACAAGCGGCGGTGCGGCGAGGGACGGAAATGTGTCGCCTGAGAGGGAGCGAAGGCCGCTGGGATTGCAGCGAAAGGCGGCAAGGGCAGGATCCAGCAACACGGAGACAACGAAGTCTGCCGAGATCCGAACTTCTTCAAGCGGGGGATGTCAGCCAAGGAATGTCGTGCCGCCGGTAGAGCCAGCATGGGTAGAGACGGAAGGGCGGTCATCGGGATTCGGCAAGGGTACCAGGAAAGGGACTGGATTGCATGGAAGAGAAGTAGGGGAGGAAATGGAGGAAGGGAAGGAAGCCCGCGAAGCACAGGAGGAAGTGGAAGAAGGGGAAGAACGGGAAGAAGGGGAGGAAGGGGAGGAAGGGGAGGAAGGGGAGGAAGGGGAGGAAGGGGATGTGGGTTTTGGAGACACAAGCGAGGCCAATACCGGATCAGGAGAATCGTCTGATGGGTTCGGACAGCTGTACGAAGAGCATCGCGAGGATGATGTCTACGAGGGTATGGAAACAAAGGTGGTTGGCAGCCTTTCTGGGGAGTCTGAAGACTATGAGGTCCAACCGCTAACGTGTGCCGTCAATTTGCAACACCAGTTCGACGAGGCTTCCGTTGCTGTGAGCCCGTCTAAAGCACGTCGTCGTATAAGCATCGACGAAGTTATCGACAGTATACTCCGCGACCAGCACGTGTCCGCGCATCCGTCCACAACGCCTGACGTCGACGACGCTGGCAACGTCACGCCGCCGGACTCTCGGGTGCTGGCCGCCACCCTCACCGGTGTAGGGGAAGGCGAGGCCATGGGACGACAGCACGTCACGTCCCCTAAAAATTCAAGGGTCGGCAGTCACTCTATCGACGTGCTCGCTTTGCCAGCGCCAACATCACCGATGAAGGAGCAGAGAGACAAACCGACCGGTAAGCGGTGATGAACGCCACACTGCCTACAGGCCTGGGATTACGAAATCGTGCGATCGGATTCCTCTGTGGTCCGGATGTCGGCATACTGCAGTCCGCGCCATACACACCACCACTGTCCACACTGTCTGTCGATACGACCACCATTCCTTCTGTCTAGTCTGTTTTTATTAACACATTCGCACACAAAAAACTTCGGGGCTTGAGAAACTGGTCAGGTAAATGCACTGACGGTTTTGCCTTCTCGGTAATAACTTCGGTTTTAATCCGCCGGGATCCAAACTTTCTTTGTGGATGCGTAATGTGGTGAGTGTCTGTGGGCCTGGTGTGTTGGAAACTCCGCCACACACACGGAGAAGTTCTGCCTGACTGTTGCGTCTGTACGAGTGTTTGGTTCTCACATTGTCACTTGCATTGGATTCGTATCAGGCACATGTATTCATTTTACGTTCTGTCTTTCTTCTGTGTACAGGGGTGGGGTCGTTTCGAGCAAGGAGTTCCTCGAAATATCGAGAACACATATTGCAAAACGTTCCCGGGTTGACGAGAAAACAAAAGGGACTGTTGAAGGTATTAGGGGTTGATGTCGATATCGGGAAGAGGGAGCACGTCGTCGCCACTGAGGAATGCCTTTCCCTTCTGGCCCCAGAGAAAGGGACATATCCGCGATCTGTGAGTAGGGGTCTGGCCATGTATGAGAAATACTTAGCAATGCGTCATGCAACGGGGGACAATGCGTAGATCTGCTTTTCTCACTACCACGCGTGCCTTTTGCTCAATGTTGTGCAGTGCGGCCCACAACTCGTGGAACACGCCGGAAAAGATTCGGTGCAGCGACTGCGCCTCGGAGCTTGCGGGTTTTGGACGACATTAAACGAGGCTCTGTGCAACCTCACGCTGTTCTCTGTATCATGGCCAATGGTCAATTTCGAATTGCAGCAAAATATCTCCTCACCCTCTTGCATATCGACGGCAGGGTGAATAATGAGGTCATCAATTCTTATATGGCGCTGTTGGGGTCGACTGCATGTGGGTCGCATCACATCTCGTCAGGCCTTCAAGTCTTTAACTTTAATTCGTTCTTCTTCAGTAAACTGCAACTTGAAGGACACGGTGGGGTGGAGAGGTGGGCTAAAAATGTGGATTTGGTTCATTACGATATTATCTTCGTTTCTGTCCACAAACACAATGATCATTGGGTCCTCCTTTTCGTCAACTTGAGAGATGACGTTCTCGAAAGTTTTAATTCTTTTCCTCGAGTTGTATCTGATTCGAGATTTTACATTAGTGTGTTTTCGAGTTGATTGTAGAGTATTTGGAACGTCAAACATCATATACGCGGTCTGGTAGGAATTGGAAGTCGATGTTGGGAAATGTTGTGGTGGATGGAGTTCCGAGACAAGTGGATGGAGCTAGTTGCGGGGTGTTCATGTTGATGTTCGCAACGTTGTTGCAACGTGGTGATCGACCGCCTTTCTGGTTCTCTTCTCAAGATATTCTGCTTATTAGACGACAATTGGGGTCATGTATCTTAAAACGTCATTGTCTTTCGTAGATTTGCTTGGCTGAGGAACTTTTCTTGAAGGTATTCCGTTTGTTGTTGATTATATGTCGTAAATAATGCCACTATTCGACTGCCCTTTTTACAGCGACATTGCTTTCTGTTCTCGTTGCGAGTTTGAGTTTTATTTGGCGGGCTCATTGCTTGTCAGGGGTCGTCAATAGACTTCTCTGTCACGTCCTGTTCGTGTCTCATGCAGCGGATCATGTCATACGTTCCGTTCCATGTTGCAAAACCTGTTCAACTCAAAGTGTATATATGATTGCCAGATGGGTCGGTGAATGCATGACAAATCTCATCTACTGTGTGACAAATCTCAATGCCGTGTGGATGCATGACAAATTGGTCAATGGATGCAGTAATAAATGTACGGAGCAGTAAC